GACGACGATGCCGGCGTGGTGGGGGGGCGGGGCGGACGTGCCGCCATCGCCTGTGGGGTGCCAACGGCCGGGAGCATCCCGAGACAGCTCGAGGTAATGCGGTTCTGGCCGGCGCTGCCCCGGTGAGGTTTTGGCTTCCTTCACAGCTTTCCTTCAGTTCCCTTCACCTTGAGAGAAGGCGGGCTGCTATAAATGTGCGGCGGTAGCCAGATAAATGGCGTATGTTTTCATATTCAGTCTTTAAACGGCTCCTCGAGTCTGACAGCCCCCGTTTGAGGCGGGTGCTTCCTTTCCGGGGCTGTCCAGAAGGCTTGAAATCTGTGTGAATTTCGCTTATTTTATAAGGAGAAAGCGTTGCCACCGCTCGTGCGGAGCGGCCTCCGAGAGTAGCAATGATACCCCTGCAAATGCCCCCTCCCTCCTGCGGCGGGACCCCCTCAGGGGCTCAGGCCGGCGGGACAGCCCTTGAGCTCATGCCTTATGGCGACTCGAGGGTGGTTTTGTGAAGCCTTCAGTGCTTTTGGTGGCTACCGGTAATTATAACCGCTGTTAGCCCACTTCAGTGTCCTCCTCGCTTAGCGTGACCCTCAGGCCAGCACGCCTTTGCTTGCTGGCGTTTAGTAGTAATTTTTATTGTTTTATGTGTTTTTAAGTGAAGCATATTAACTACAATCTGGTCAGGCGCGGCTGCAAGTGCCACCTAAAGAGTACAGATGGGCGTAGCATGTGCCTTTTAAGAGGTTTCTGCTTTTCTGCCCCAACTTGAAAAATAAGGCGAATTACTTCAACAAATTCTACTATCGTTCCTTTTATCTTTACCTGTGGCTTATTGTATAAATTTTACCAGATGTTCTTCTCACTGCAGTAACTTTTTGCACTCCCAGCCTAAATCAAGACTGATTAAAGTGCGTGTTGTGACCTTACTTCTTTTTTTTCCTTGGAAATATAATAATGAAAAATACAAAAATATATGAAAATATGACTTACTACCATATTGATAAACTATCAAGTCAAAAAATTGCCATAGTAACTTCTCTTTCATACCTTTTTACATGATAAACATACCTTGTAGTTTTGTTTTAAAAACGGATATTGCAGCCAATTCTATTTGATCAAAAGTTTGTTAGGATTTTTTTTTTTAATTGTGCTAAAGATGGTGTGTTGGTATTTACAAGCACAAAAGACTTGGTTGAACATATTATATCTTTACACTGGGAATTTTTTTTGTCACACAGGTCTCCTATTTTTTAAGCTTATGTATGGTAGGGCAGCGATTCTTCTCTCAGCAGAAAAAGAAAAACTTGGCAAACTCTAAGCCTTTCCCATCTAAATGTTCACACTAAACATATAAATATATACACTGCCTAAATATATACACTGCCTTGAGTAAGCATTTCTGGGACTTACAGCCTTTGCTCTGTTGGTGCTTAAGTCACTGAAGACTTTGATGCTGTTTGCCTGTATAGAGCAATCTTGACTCTTGCTATAGAGCCAATTGTTCATTCTATTCAGAAATAGGAGTCTTACATCTGGTATATGTGAATAGCCAAAGTGTGTACGTAAAGCTGTGTTACAATGAGAGTTGTTTTATGCAATCAAGAACACCAGAAATCTTTGCTAATGAGTGGGTATCATATAAAAGCACAGCAAACACAGTAAGCTTTTAGCAGTTTGGTACTTCACTTTGGTCATTAAATCACTTGCAGGTTCATCCCAGGTCGAATAACTGACAACTGTTCTGTTCAGTGGGAGAAGGAATCTTGGCAGATGGTTCCCCTTTCCCTCCCCTTCAAGGAGGGAAACCCTGTAACACAGTGTTAGTACATTGCTAATCGCATGTCAACCTTCGTCAGCTCTTCTCGTACCTGGCCACGGTGTTATAGGCCTTACCAGAAGATAAATTTTTGGTGAAACAGTGAAGTGATCCTAGTTTCAGGTCACTCTGTCCTGGTTTCATATCATAGCTTTCTATACCTACAGCAAATCCACATCAGTTAAAAAAAAAAAAAGAAAAAAAAAAAAGAAAATAAATCTACATATATCAGCAAAAAGATTCCTCAGAGCTGCAGTGATCAGCAAAAAAGAGTTGAAGACACTGTGTTGCACAAGGGTGAGGGATGAGGAAATCCACGTGTCAGTTTGCTTGTGTGAAGGCCGAGCCTTGCATTAGCTGTAGCACTCCTGTGGCTGGGTTTTGGCAGCCTTAGAGATTATTCTGA